TGGTGGGCCCTGAAAAACAGTCCTAAAACGGTCCTAAGGACCTATGTTGCTCTTAATACCATGTCGAGAGTACAGGGAAAAAGGTGGTTGCACTATCGAGAAAGTTGGGTACAAGTAACAAAAAACTATACCCTACATTAGCTACCCCACTAAAGCCTACATTCTATTATGACATAGGCATATAATTTGACACGAACAAGAGCGGGTTCGCGAATCGAACGAAGCACATCGCCCTGCGATATTTCTTCGTGAAGGACAAGATCGAGAAGGGGAGACTCGAACTGTCCTACTGCCCCATATACGAAATGGCAGCTGATTATTTGACCAAGAAACTCGGAAAGCAGAAGTTCGAATACTGCATGTTGCTGACTGGACAAGGCCACGTCACCAGCAACGACACTCCAAAAGTGAAGGGGAGTGTTGGAAACAAGTAATTTAATGCTTCTGATGCGTCAGAGCATCGAACTGCAAACGAGGCACGTTACAGTGAAGCAACAGCGAGTCAACCAAGGAGGTTGACAAAACATAACAGCTGGAGGTTACGCGAAGGTCAAAGGTCGCCAACCTTTGACTTGACAAAAAGCAGCGCGACAGCAAGGACAAACAACTGACTCGGTTCTGAGCAGTTGCTCGAGTCGTCGCTGTATCGAACCGTAACAGCAACAGTAAAACAGTTGGTTGCATCTTTTCATATTCCTTGTAATCTTTGTAAAAGCTTTGTATTACTTTGTATTACTTTGCTATAATCAATCTCTTGCTCTCACACACTAGTGCAAGTTGGTTCAACAGTACATTAAAACGCTTCTGCAATTACACCATTCCTACTCAGGGTCTTAGCCTTGAAGAGATCCTAAGGGCTTTTCTCGGCCCAACAGTGCATGCCCCATTTTATGTGAGCGTGGTGCGTACAAGGGGAGAGACTGTCGTGAATCGTCCTCATTTTCTGTCTTCCCATCCTTGCTTCTCCCTCTCTTGGGCTTGTCGAAGCAACATATTCTCCGCCATCATTCTTAGAGTGCTTCATGTGCATAGCAAAGTGCATTCTGAAAAGATCAACTACATGGGGAGACATGGTAAGACGGAGCAGGGCACACTCCTAACCTCTTCCACACACTTCTCGTCTTGTCTTCGCTTCCTATCACTGAAAGCCTTTGCTTTTGACCTCGTGTCTCTACGTGCCTTGTGGGTTTAACCCATTCTGCTGCTGCCCACAACAGCCACGTGCCACAAGGATGATGGAGCTGCTGAGTGCGTTGTGAAGGATGGCCAGCAGCAGTGCCAGTGCCCCGAAGACCTCGTGTTCAACGCAGCCAAGAAGCTCTGCTGCGACCCGATCCCTGATCGTAAGTGCCTTGTCATTTGATACATGTTTCCCAACAATAACGACTCAACCCGGTCATCGTATGCAATCAGAAAAGCGAGTTGGCAGCGTGCAGGTTGCCAGCTTCTTCTGTGATGCCGCCTACACCAAGATTAGCGGGCTGTGCACTGTGAGCTGACCAGTTCTTTGCTTCAGCGGCTGGTGAACAAAGATGGCAAGAGGGCAAGAGAACAAGAGAGCAAGAGAGCAAGAGGTAGTCCATCTTTTGAGAGGCACTGTTTTATGTGAGTCGAGCTGGAGCGCTTGTGGTGCTGCTGTGTCATTACCACCCCCCCCCCCCCCTCTTTCCAAGCCACTTGCTATCATTTTCCCTGCCTGCTGCCCGACCCAGCCTTATGCTCCTTTTCCCCTCCCCACGCCCTACATCCTAACGGCGCCAGCCAAGTGCAAGCCTGCGTGCACTGCTTGTGCCCAGTGCATGTTCATGGCAGGAAAGTCAGTGTACGAGTTCCCAGGCTGAAGAAACACAAGTACGCAGGTAAGGAGGAGAGAGAAACGCATGCTCTGGTTTGTCGCAGAGCCAGTACCCCGGGAGCCTCGTGTTTTTTAAGGCCAAGATGCTCTTCCGCGATAGTAGGTGTCTCTGCCGTTTGTCACATGCTTGGCAACAAGAATCAAGTTCTCGTGTGTAGATGATAAACAGTCATTTATTTGCCGAGGTGACGCTAGCTACACCAAGAGGAGTAGGCTCTGCACTGGCGTTCCGTCTCATCTCACTTCTTATGCTATGGCCTGCCCTCCATTTGCCCTTCCCTTGGCATTGCAACTACCTATGAATTTATCATGTTCACTATGAGGGGCCAGTGGAGAAGTGAAGAACGTTGCTTGGAGGCTATGACAGGAAGTTCCCAGTTGGAACCAACTTTGGCTGATATCTGGCTGAGTCATTAATGCGTGTTCCAGGAATTACATTACATGCTTGCTGGTATGTTGTACCATGCAAAGGTTTAAAAGGGTTGTTGCTGAGTCTGGTTTGTGTGTTTTGACACAAAAATGCAGAATTGCACCGTTTTTATTGTTAAGACTTAATGGTTGCCTTTGCTTGTAACAAATCTATTTCAAATGTGTACTTTCATGTCCCAGCCAATAATTCTCTGCCATAGAGCCCCGCTAATGCGCCATGATCACCTTCACGATTCCTCAATTATTGGTGGCTCTTGTACGAACTGTGATTAAACGCTTTGCATCGTTTCAGACCGAGGAATTACTTCCTGTTTCTCCGTTCTGCTGAACCCCATTCACTGACAATGTCAGAATTCACAATTATTTTGGCTGCGTTCTGTGGGCGCATCAGCTCTGATGCGTCTGAGGCTCGGGCTGATGCGCACATTGAGAAATTGAGGTTCGGAACTGACAAAATTGAAATCGATAAATTGAGGTTCGGACGAGGTTCGGACGAGGTTCCCGAAATCTCCTATTTCCAATTTTTTTCGAACCTCGTCCGAACCTCGAATTTGGACATGTCAGATCTCGATATCCAATTTCCTCTAATTTCCAAGTTTTTATGGGTTTCTAGGAAGTTAGACCGCAAATTTTTTTATGGTGCCAACCAATGAAGGTTTAGAAGACACAAATTGACGAATGAGGGTGCTCCGCACCAGCAGATGCGCGCATCATGCGACTTCTCGGAGTTGCATGATGCGCGCACCAATGATGCGCCAGATTGCTAGGACGAGAAATTTCTCGTAAATCGGCAACATGTTAAATTTTGGTCGCCGAAAAGGCCGTTCTGCAGGCATTCGGATTTGTTTCGCTTCGGCAGCCATGCGCTTATCGCGAACCTTGATAACCTTCCGGCAGTCTTGGAGCCGTGGTAGAATGCATCAATGTACATTGATGCAGGCTGATGCGCCCACAGAACGCAGCCCACGACAGACTGAGGATTCGAGCGCGACTCCGTCGCTATTCCATCCATTCCCTTCCCTCCCTCACACCCATCTCTCAATTCACTCCCTTTCCGCTCGACGATTTTGCAACCCTGCGATCTCGACCCTGCATCTGCCATCATTTGCGCACTAACGGAACAATAGTAGCATCCGCTTCATTGCAATAGTAGAGGCATTACCTCACCTGCGAAGACTTCTGCAGCAGCTGCATCAACGAGACATCTAGGGTACTGCAGCGACACTGTCATCGACACGCTACTGCTCGATTTGTGGCGACACGGTGTGCACCGTCGCCAGCAACACCAGCAGAAGAGACGCGCGCATCTGCGATTGAGCGGCTATTTTTGCGACAGCTAAAGCAACGTCCACCTGAAGCGACGCCAGCAGAAGAGACGCGCCCGCCAACCGGAGAAGTAGCTCAGAAAGCTTCCTCTCACACAGCTTCCTCTCACACAGCTTCCTCTCACACAGCTTCCTCTCACACAGCTTCCTCTCGCACAGCTTCCTCTCGCACAGCTTCCTCTCGCACAGCTTCCTCTCACACAGCTTCCTCTCACACAGCTTCTCGCTGGCATTGCGTGCCTCTTCATCAAGTCGCACCGTAGAGCTCTCTCCTTCCAGGTCGCTCCTGTTCTCAAAAGCGAGCGCTTGCAAGCCGCGGGGCTCTGCCGTCACGATTAGCACCAGCGACGTGGGCCGCGGAACGGCACGTCACGTCAACTCGGACGTGAAAGAAGCCGAAGCTCTTCGCCGTTGCGTGGGATCGGCGCTAATCCCCGTCTCCCCGTTTCCCCGGCGGCCATCTCCTCTCCAATCGTGATGGAGCGCTACGCGCCGCGCCTGTCCAGCCACGGCCTCGCCGCACTCGTCGTGGGTCTCGTTGCCATCAGCTTCCTCGCGACCCACGCCAGCGCCGCTTTTGGTGGTGAGTCGGCTGACTGGCTCATGGTGGAACGCCATGCCCGGCTCGCTCGTGCTTCCCAACCTCATCCTCCTTCATGCCAATGACCGTCGTCTTTCCCACCCCTTTGCTCCTCATGCGTCTCTCCCGCTGTTTCTCACGTACCAATTGGGTTGCTGTGTGCTTGAACTGAAAGGTGTTGAGCAAATGACCCTTTCTGTTTTAACCTCCCTTGCCCTGCTTCCCTGCTGCCTTTCGTTACAAACGTCCGTGATTTCGCGCAGCAAACGCGTGCGCGCGCATCAAATGCGGGTCCAAAGCCTCGTGCACTTTCAACCGTGACGGCTCTCCCTACTGCTTGTGCAACGATGGCACTCTTAACTTCAACGAAACAGACAAGACGTGCTACAGTGAGTGGTGGCAAGAGAGGGAGTGCAGATGAGTGTTGCATCGCCTGACTGACTGAGTATAATCAGTTAGCTTCGCTCTCACGCACTCAGAAGTGCCTCTCTAAGTCAGACTCAGCTGTTGCCTATCAATCTGGTCGTTTTCTTTCTTTCTTCGTAGCTTTCCCCATTCTTTTCTTCTCCTCCCTCGCTTCCCACCCGCGTGCTCACCCTCGGCTCTCGCCTCTCGCCTTCTTCATTCCCACCTCTTGTTCTCACGCCCAGCGTGCTCAGAGTACGCGAGTGTGGGTGGGTGTGAGTGTGGGTGAGTGCGTAGGGTGGGTGAGTGAGTACAATTTTGGCAAACCTCTTCCCCTCCTGTATCAAACCTCCCTACAGACGCGTGTGCCAAGAAGAAGTGCGGGCCAGATGCTGTTTGCATGCACATGGCTCCTCTTCCCAACAGCCCTGCTGAGTGCATCTGCCCCGTCGGTAAAACCTACAGCGAAAAGGACAAGAAATGCTACGGTGAGTGGTGAAGAGCAAGTGAGTGCACGCATGGTATGCGAATGAGTCAAACGTGGTATCGGCTGACTGGCTGAATCTTTCTGGTGAGCTGTGCTCTCGTGCGGTCACTAGGGTTGAGCCCCTAAGCTAGAATCAGCTATCGCTGCCCGAAGTGGAACGTGAAGTGTGTCACAAAGTGCGCTATCATGTGTTCGTCTCATTCTGACACAATCAACAACATGGGAGTGACACGAGAAGAGGGAGCAATGCACACGCAACCACTTCCACACAATTCTTGTCTTCGCCTCCCTGTGCCTGAAAAGTGCTACTTTTGACCCCTTGTCTCTGCATGCCTGTGTTGTTTGTTCCTTTTTGCTGCCCACAACAGCCACGTGCCACAAGGATTGTGGAGCTGCTGAGTGCGTTGTGAAGAAGGGCAAGCAGCAGTGCCAGTGCCCCGAGGGCCTCGTGTTCAACCCGGCTAAGAAGACCTGCCGCGCTGCTGCTCGTCGTAAGTGCCTTGCTCCTTGTTGCATGTTTGCCAACAAGAATGAATCTGCCGGGCAGCTTCTTGTGTATGGAATCAGAAAATATTTGCCTGCGTGATGCCGCCCACACCAAGAGGAGCGGGCTGCACACTACTGAGCTGCCTGCCCTGCCGATGCCCAGTTTCATGGTTGTCAACAAGAAAGATTCAGCTTCTCGTGTAATTGCGAGTGTCCACCGGCTACAGGAAGAGGAGCAGGCTCTGCACTGGCACGGTTTACCATCCTTCTCTCCCATCTCGCATCTTATGCTGCGGCCTTCTCTGCCTTCCATTTGCCCCTTCATGTTGCAAGTATGAACTGATCAGGTTCACCATACCATGCAGGGGCCGGTGGACAAGTGAAGAATGGGCGCCCCCCCCTAGTGACTTTTGAGTCGATTCACAGTCACCTCATTTGCCCCCTCCCATTCCCATTCACCTCATTTGCCCCCTCCCATTCCCATTCACCTCATTTGCCCCCTCCCATTCCCATTCACCTCATTTGCCCGCTCCCATTCCCATTCACCTCATTTGCCCCCTCCCATTCCCATTCACCTCATTTGCCCCCTCCCATTCCCATTCACCTCATTTGCCCCCTCCCATTCCCATTCACCTCATTTGCCCCCTCCCATTCCCATTCACCTCATTTGCCCCCTCCCATTCCCATTCACCTCATTTGCCCCCTCCCATTCCCATTCACCTCATTTGCCCCCTCCCATTCCCATTCACCTCATTTGCCCCCTCCCATTCCCATTCACCTCATTTGCCCCCTCCCATTCCCATTCACCTCATTTGCCCCCTCCCATTCCCATTCACCTCATTTGCCCCCTCCCATTCCCATTCACCTCATTTGCCCCCTCCCATTCCCATTCACCTCATTTGCCCCCTCCCATTCCCATTCACCTCATTTGCCCCCTCCCATTCCCATTCACCTCATTTGCCCCCTCCCATTCCCATTCACCTCATTTGCCCCCTCCCATTCCCATTCACCTCATTTGCCCCCTCCCATTCCCATTCACCTCATTTGCCCCGTCCCATTCCCATTCACCTCATTTGCCCCCTCCCATTCCCATTCACCTCATTTGCCCCCTCCCATTCCCATTCACCTCATTTGCCCCCTCCCATTCCCATTCACCTCATTTGCCCCCTCCCATTCCCATTCACCTCATTTGCCCCCTCCCATTCCCATTCACCTCATTTGCCCTCTCCCATTCCCATTCACCTCATTTGCCCCCTCCCATTCCAAATATGAACTGATTATGTTCACCATGCAGGGGCAGGTGGACAAGTGAAGAACGGGCAACCCTAGTGGGATGGGCAGGCAGCAAAGACGAGCAAGCTGGCAACACAAGAGGAGTGTGAGATGGCCTGGGGCTGATGGCGGTGCGAGCAACTGTGTGCCGTTGCTTGGAGGCTAGGGAGTGCCCAGTAGGAACCAGCTTTGGCTTATAATTGGCTGTGCCATCAGGCTGCAAACCCACAGTTGCCAGGCAAAGTGTTGCTGAAAACATGCAGAAAACGTCTCTTGCACTGTATAGAGGCATTAATATTAATTAAAATGAGGTACGGAAAAAGAACAGCTCAAAAGCGGTTGAATCAGTGTTAGAAACTGAAACCTAAGAGATATCCAGGGCCATATGGTTATTGTGGAATTACAATGGTGTAGCAATAATACAACTAAGACTCAAGGCTGGCGAAGTCATGCAATCTCAGTGAGGCGCAGCCATGACTCATAATCTCTTCACTGCATCGTACTGTCGCATGCTGCCACGCCCATGTGCTCCATTCTCCCCCACACAGCCCCCCGCCTCCTCCACAACCACCAGCTCATGCACCCCTCCTCCCATGAGAGCCCCCAGCGTGGCTGAAGAGTCACTGACTGGCACGCCCATGTCCAGGAGGCGCTTTTGACTCCACTCAAAAGAAGAGTCAGTGGGCGGCGGCGGCGCGCCCATGTCGAGGCGGCACGCCACCTCGCGCTCTGCCAGTGCCAGCGCCAGCCCCAGCTGCACCCACTGGTGGTGCGCCGCTCTCACTGCTCTCAGCACCTCCACCGTGCTGCTCCCTCCTCCCACCACTGCCACCCGCTCCTCCCACAGCTGCACTCTCTCCTCCAATGGTAGGCCCTCCTCACATGCTCCCTCCTCCTCACACACTCCCTCCTCCTCACACACTCCCTGCCCCTCACACACCCTCTCCTCTCCCTCTCCGCCCTCCAAGGGCCGCCGTCCCTCCTCGGTGCACGAAGCACCATTCAAGCACTCAGGTCGTGAACCTTCAAGCCCCCCCACCCCACTGCCATTCACCAGCAAACAGCCGCCCCCTCCAGCCCGGCCACTCCGCATTCCCCCTCCACTGCTGTCCCTTGTGACCCGGGGCTCATGACTGCTCTCTGGGGGTCCGCCCACACCATTACCCATGTGCAGGGCAGCATGCAAAGCACAGGCAGACGCATGAGAGGCAGACGCGTGGGTGCTTACGGTGGATGAACAAGTGTGGGGCTTCGTATCGGCAGGCGGTGGTGGTGAGCACGGGGAAGGGTAGGAGGAAGAGTGACGGGCAGAATCAGAGAGGGCGAGGGCGGCTGTGATGTGCGCTGCCAGGCGCTCGCCCTGCTTCAGTGCCTGCAGTGGTGAGGAGAGTTAAGGGGTAGGGAGGAGAGTGGCGCGGGGAAGGGAAGGGTATGCATGGGTGAATGAGATGGATGAAAACACCGCGAGCACAGGAGGAGAGCACGCGAGCACTTGCATAATCTGTAGTAAGTAATAACACTGCAATAGCACTCTCCGTCTCCCCCAACCTCCCTCCCCCCTCCCCTCCCTTTCCCCCCTCTCCTGGCAGCACAGCACGCACGAGCGTGGCATGGCAGAGTCGGGCCTCCAGCTGCTGCCGGTTGGCGCCCCACGAGAGGGCCGCCGCCTCACTCGCCTCTGCCGCTGCCTGCACGTCCCTCGCCGCCGCTGCTGCCTCCCCCGCCAGCAGATCGTACTCTGGGTGACACGGCCACGAGGGACGGGGCGGGGAGAGGCAGGGGAAAGAATGAGGAGTGAGAGAGCGTTTAAGGGAAGGAGAGAACGGAAAAGGAGGAGGATTGGGGGGGAGGGGAAGAGTGGAGGCAGTGGTAATACAGGCAGAGTTAGTGGTAAATCAGGCTGAGGCGTGAACGGGGATAGGGAGACCCAAGAGAGGTGGATGCAGGTGGAGAGGAAGGATGCAGGTGGAGAGGAAGGATGCAGATGGAGAGGAAGGATGCAGATGGAGAGGAAGGGACTGCGTCTGGTTGGATGCGCGTTCAGTGGCGGCACAATGTGGGGAGTGGGCGGCAGCACGATGTGGGGAGTGGGCGGCAGCAGGGACCTGCTTCGAGTCGCAGCAGGCTCTCAAAGGGCAAGTCCACCCGCATGGCCTTGCACACCAGCTCCTCCATCTCCTCCTCGCTCACCTCCTGGCATGGCATGGCATGGCATGGCATGGCATGGCCCCATGCATGCATGCATGCACGTGAGATCATGAGATGAGACACAAGCATACACACGCACACACGCACACACACACACACACACACACGCATGCATGTGCACATGCATATGCACATACAAACACACACATATACATACACAAACATGCACATGGGCACACACACACACACACACACACACACACGCATGCACAAGCACACACACACAAACAGGAGGCATGAGTGCAGGCAAGGCTAAATTGCAGGCGGACTGGGAGGCAGGCTGTTAAGACCTTAGGAGAGTGAGAGACAGTGTATGATGGTAGAATGGGTGGATGATGGTAGAATGGGTGGATGATGGTAGAATGGGTGGATGATGGTAGAACGGGTGGATGATGGTAGAACGGGTGGATGATGGTAGAATGGGTGGATGATGGTAGAATGGGTGGATGATGGTAGAATGGGTGGATGATGGTAGAATGGGTGGATGATGGTAGAATGGGTGGATGATGGTAGAATGGGTGGATGATGGTAGAATGGGTGGATGATGGTAGAATGGGTGTATGTGGTTTTAAACACGAAACTGAAGCACCTTGCATCTTTGAAGCGTGAGGCTGGAAGTACCGTGAGTCACCGTGAGGGAATATGGGGTGCCGTGAAGTACGGTGAGGGACTGTGCAGTACCAGGGGGTGAACTTTGGATTATACTTCTCCTTGTATCCTACATCTGTTCTATAAACTTTGGTAGAAATAGACACCCAAACTTGGTTTGGGTGCACAAATAGGGCTAACCCTAGTTGGAAGTTGGGAACTGAACCTTGGTCCAATTATCTGACCCTTAATGTTGGGTTGGGAGATTATTGGACCCCCCCAAAATCTTGGCCCAGAGACCAACATTATTGAGACCACCCAATAATTCTCCAGCGCGACGTATTGGTGGGGGCCAATAATGTTGGCTAAAAACCCAACCAACCCCTCGCCCGTCCCCTTTCCTCTTCCAACAATGTATACCCCATCCACTCTAATGAAACCATTGGTTATTCTTCACAATTATGATAGTAAAGCGAGGCGAGGTCACCTTGAGCTGCGCGGGCAGCTCGGTGCGCAGCAGGCACATGGCGTACTCCATCTCCGGGCACTGCTGCAGCTGCCGCCTGCACACCTGGTGTGGGGACGGGGGAAGTCGAAGAGGGGAGAGGACGGGGAGGGGTTGGGGGGATGGGACCAGGGAAGGAAACGGGGAGGAAGGGCAGGGAAAGGGACGGGGAGAGGAGAATGGGAAGTACAGATGAGGGGATTTGTGTGCGCAGCAGGCACATGGCATACTCCATCTCTGGGCACTGCTGTAGCCACCGTCTGCACACCTGGTGTGGGGAGGGTACCGGTGGGGTACCGGTGGGGAGGGGTGTTGGGGGGAAGGAAATGGGAAGGGGAACGGGGAGAGGGGATGGGAGGAGGGAATGGGGAGAGGGGACGGTGGAGGGGAATGGGAAATAGGGATGCGAGGAGGCGGTTTGTAGGAGGAGAGGAGAGGTGGGTGATGGGAAGTGGGTGGGAAAAGGAGGAGGGAGGGATGGTAGTGCAGTGGGGCAAGGGAAGAGGTGGGAAGAGGTGGGAGGAGGTGGGCGGAGGTGGGAGGAGTTGAGATGAGGCGGGAGGGCAAATACCTGCAGGAGAACGATGGCGAGCTTGAAGACAATGGCCGTGGTCTGCTCCGCTGCCGTGATGCGAGATGAGAGAGGGGAGATGGGAGATGGGAAATGAGGGATGAGAGGGAAAAAGGCGTGATCAGGTACAGCTGCTGATGGGACTGTTCAGAATGACAACAGCTGCTGAAGACGTTAGCGTACCGAGGATGATTTCAGCGTACCGAGGATGATGTCAGCGTACCGAGGATGATGTCAGCGTACCGAGGATGATGTCAGCGTACCGAGGATGATGTCAGTGTACCGAGGATGATGTCAGCGTACCGAGGATGATGTCAGCGTGCCGAGGATGATGTCAGCGTACCGTGGATGATGTCAGCGGACCGAGGATGATGTCAGCGTACCGAGAATGATGTCAGCGTACCGAGGATGATGTCGAAGACGCGGAAGACGAGGTAGTGAGGCATGGTGCGCGCGAAGAGAGTGAGGAACCAGTCCGCCGCATACATCACCTGGTGGCGCGGCGTGGTGCCATGGCACAGGGCATGGTGGGGCATGGTGGGGCATGGTGGGGCGTGGTGGGGCATGGTAGGGAGGGAATAATAGGGCATGGTGTGCATGGGGTGAGGAACCAGTCCGCCGCGTACATCACCAAGGTGGCGCCACGCCATGGCATGGCATGGTGTGTATGGGGCATGGTGGGGTGGTGTGGGGCGTGATGGGACATGGTGTGCATAGGGAGAGGACACCTGACGTGTGCGATGCCGACGAACGGCTGTGATGTTCTTGGGCTGACGTTTCAAAGCTCAAGTGAGAGGAATGAGTGGTGCTGTGCGGCGTGGTGATTAAATCCAATAGCTGAGGCACAACACAAGTACTGGTATGGCGTCGGGTGGCAGTCCATGGCATGGCGTGGCATGGGGTAGCATGGCATGGCATGGCACGGCACGGCATAGCGTGGCATGGCATGGCATGGCATGGCATGGCATGGCATGGCATGGCATGGCATGGGGTAGCATGGCATGGCATGGCACGGCACGGCATAGCGTGGCATGGCATGGCATGGCATGGGTGTGTCATACGGGTTTGATGTCGAGGTGTTCGAAGAAGGCATGCACGCGTGGCAGCGTGTGGATGAGCAGCTGCGTGAGCTGATACATGCGCACTTGCAGCTGCAAGTGGGCGGGCACAGGGGCATTCACACACACGGGCATGCAAAATCACGCAGTACACACATGTACACACGTGCACACGCACATATCACACACCCATATGCACACGCCCACATGCACACACCCACATGCACACACCCACATGCGTACAGGAGAGGGAGAGGGAGGGATGTGATGTTAAGCAAGATCCAGAGAAGGCATCATGGGATGGCAATAGCATGCGAGTTGTGCACACAATGCCCCACTTGCTGCATGTCTCAACGCCCCACCACACCTGCTGCATGTCTTAAAGGCCACACCGTGCTGCATGTCTTAACGCCCCATCCCACGGCACCTGCTGCATGTCTTAACGCCCCACCCCACGGCACCTGCTGCATGTCGGGCTTTAAGACCCACCTGCTGCATGTCGGGCTTTAAGACCCACCTGCTGCATGTCGGGCTTTAAGACCCACCTGCTGCATGTTGGGCTTTAAGACCCACCTGCTGCATGTCGGGCTTTAAGACCCACCTGCTGCATGCCGGGCCTTAAGACCCACCTGCTGCATGCCGGGCTTTAAGACCCACCTGCTGCATGCCGGGCTTTAAGACCCACCTGCTGCATGCCGGGCTTTAAGACCCACCTGCTGCATGCCGGGCTTTAAGACCCACCTGCTGCATGCCGGGCTTTAAGACCCACCTGCTGCATGTCGGGCTTTAAGACCCACCTGCTACATGTCGGGCTTTAAGACCCACCTGCTGCATGTCGGGCTTTAAGACCCACCTGCTGCATGTCGGGCTTTAAGACCCACCTGCTGCATGTCGGGCTTTAAGACCCACCTGCTGCATGTCGGGCTTTAAGACCCACCTGCTGCATGTCGGGCTTTAAGACCCACCTGCTGCATGTCGGGCTTTAAGACCCACCTGCTGCATGTTGGGCTTTAAGACCCACCTGCTGCATGCCGGGCTTTAAGACCCACCTGCTGCATGCCGGGCTTTAAGACCCACCTGCTGCATGTCGGGCTTTAAGACCCACCTTCTGCATGTCGGGCTTTAAGACCCGCCTGCTGCATGTCGGGCTTTAAGACCCACCTGCTGCATGTCGGGCTTTAAGACCCACCTGCTGCATGTCGGGCTTTAAGACCCACCTGCTGCATGTTGGGCTTTAAGACCCACCTGCTGCATGTCGGGCTTTAAGACCCACCTGCTGCATGTCGGGCAGGAAGACGCCTCGCAGGCCGCAGCGGTACATGAGGAAGACGAGGCACGTGAAGGCGTGCTCCTCCCCCATGCTCATCAGCAGCGTCGCCGCTATGAACCCCATGCCCTGCCCGCCGTGCCATTTGCCATGCACACACGCAACATGCCATGCGCCACGCATACACGCAAGATGCACCGTGCAGTGCAGCACACATGGGCAGCGGAGATGATGGCGTGGTGGGGGGGAGTGATGGAGGCAGGCAGAGGCAACGGGGCAGAGAGGAAGAGAGAGAGATATGGGGTGTGGGGGATGGGGAGGGGAAGAGGCAGTGGAGTGGAGGCATGTGAGACAACTGATCAACATGGTTCTCTACAAAAGCAAGCGACGGAGCTGTGAGGAATCAAGCTACAGGTGGTGAGGACACATGGGCACGACTGGAAGGGATGGGTGGAGAGGCGGGGCTAGAGAGGAGGGGCAAAGGAAAGGAGGCGAAGTAACAAGGAGAGGGAAGGGAAGGAAGGGAAGAAGGGAAGAAGGGAAGGGGAAAAAAAAGGGCTAGATGGTGAGTAGGAGTGAAAAAATAATTGGAATGCAAAAAATACGAAAGGGGAAAAGGAGGGAAAGAGGGCGAGAAGAGGGAGAGAGGGCAAGGCAAGGGGAAGTTACCTGGCAGTAGCCGACCTCCTTGTCCAACACCTGATGCGCGCCATGGGCAGGCACGCGGCGTGCAGGGGCGGGGCGAGAGACGAGAAGGGACCGCAGGGACGGAGTAAGGACCAGAATGCAAGAGAAAGGTAGGGTGGGCAAGGCATGGCATGGCATCAATAGAATTGCATGGCATCAATAGAATTGCAAGGCATCTATAGAAATGCATGGCATCAATGGAATGGCATGGCATCAATGGAATGGCATGGCATTTATGGAATGGCATGGCATTAATGGAATGGCATGGCATTAATGGAATGGCATGGCATTAATGGAATGGCATGGCATTAATGGAATGGCATGGCATTAATGGAATGCCATGGCACAAAGCAGGGCACCACGAAACAGAAGGGTGCAGCGGAGCAGAGGTGCACATTGCAGGGAAGGGCAGAGAGCACATAGCAGGGCAGCACAGTGGGGGGTGGGGGGAAGGGTGATGCAGGGCACCGCAGGGCAGGGCAGGGCAGGGCAGGGAAGGGTGGGGGGTGCGGTGGGTTGCGGTGCGGTACGGAGTAGGCCTTGATGACGTTGAAGAGCGACTGCTGGCCGGCGCCCCTCTCCTCCTGGAAGAGGCGGTGGTTGGGGAAGGTGCGGTTCACATCCCGCTCTATTTCCCTGCGCCCGGTGGGGGGGGAGGAGGGAGGGAGGAATGGGGGGAATGGGGGTAATGGAGGGAATGGTGGGATGGGGGGTAATGGGGGAAATGAGAGGGATGGGGGGGAATGGAGTGAATGGGAGGGATGGGGTATGCAACGACAAGCGCGAGCAGAAAGGTGGAGGGGGAACTGTGTGTGTGGCCTGCCACTTGAGCGTCTGTGTGACCTGCCATGAGAGCGTGTGTGTGGGGGTGGGGAGCTCACTTGGCGTGTGTGGGGGTGGGGAGCTCACTTGGCGTGTGTGGGGGTGGGGAGCTCACTTGGCGTGTGTGGGGGTGGGGAGCTCACTTGGCGGAGGCGGAGGGCTGCATGAGCAGAGAGGCGTAGCTGCTGCCATCCGCCAGGGCGTCCTGGTGGTGAGAGGAGAGGCGAGGGTGGGGGGATGCGGTGTGTGATAGGTGGCATGGCATGTGGAGGGAGGGTGGAGGGAGGGTGGAGGGGAGAGGAGGGAGAGGAGGGAGAGGAGGTTGGAAAAGGGAGTAAGGAGAGGGGAGAGCAAGGGGAGCGAAGGAGGGTAAGGAGAAGGGGGGAAACAACGAATTAGTCAAAAGGATGGTGCAATGGATTGAGAGCAGGTAGCTCATGTGAAGACATGGAGGAGGTGCGTTGAGGTGCATTGAGGCATGACAATGCAGAGGTGGGGATTCTAGCAGATCAGGCTTGAGCAGAGCAGGCGGGGTAGCAGCAGCAGCACCAGTGGGCGCACTGACATCCCAGCAGCAGGCGGGGCAGCAGCAGCAGCAGCGGCGGCGGCGGCGGCGGCGGCGGCGGCGGCGGTGGCGGCAGCGGCAGCAGTGACTGACATGAGGGTGGGCAGTGACTGACATGAGGGTGGGCGGTGGCGATGGCGACCCAGGCGGCGCCCCTCTGGTTGCGCGGCACACGGCCCGCCAGCAGCGCCTCCACCAGCGTCATCCCCGCTGGCAGCTGAATCACACTCGCCCCCCCGCTCATGCCCACTCCCATGCCCATGCCCATGCCCATGCCCATGCCCATGCCCATGCCCATGCCCATGCCCATGCCCATGCCCATGCCCATGCTCGCCCCGAAACTGGCGCTGTGGTTGCGATGCTGCTGGGTGGGGCAGCGAGGCGAGAGCAGAGAGAGGCGTGGCGAGGCTTCCTGCTAAGAGCAGAAGAGGATGAGGGAAAACGTGGTGGGTGGAAGTACAACGGCGATGAGGAGAGGAGCGAGTTGGAATGCGCAGAGGCTGATGCAAGCCATGCATGAAGCAGATGGTACCTCGAATGGTCTCTCTCTCCCAGCAAACACCTCAAAAAAAAAAAAAAAAAAAAAAAAAAACGCATAGTAAATCCAGGCTAAGTGTTCAATGCTTGCATATCAGACACACCTCAAGGTCGGAACCTCTGGGCGGCGGCATGATGCGTTTCAAGCGCTCCCACATGCGCACCATGCGCTGCCCACCCGTTGCTGCCGCCTCTGCCGCCACCATCGCTGCTTGCCGCCCGCTGCCGCCCGCTTCATGGTCCAAATCGGTCAGGGACCCTGAGGGGGAGGGAACGGGGGAGAAGGATGACGGTGACGCAAGTAAGGGAAGCCTCCCTTACTTCCCTAATCTTTCCTCCACCCTTGTTGATCTTCCTAATTTTTCCTCCACCATTGTTGATCTTCCACATTTTTCCTCCACCATTGTTGATCTTCCACATTTTTCCTCCACCATTGTTGATCTTCCACATTTTTCCTCCACCATTGTTGATCTTCCACATTTTTCCTCCACCATTGTTGATCTTCCACATTTTTCCTCCACCATTGTTGATCTTCCACATTTTTCCTCCACCATTGTTGATCTTCCACATTTTTCCTCCACCATTGTTGATCTTCCACATTTTTCCTCCACCATTGTTGATCTTCCACATTTTTCCTCCCCCCTTGTTGATCTTCCACATTTTTCCTCCACCATTGTTGATCTTCCACATTTTTCCTCCACCATTGTTGATCTTCCACATTTTTCCTCCACCATTGTTGATCTTCCACATTTTTCCTCCACCATTGTTGATCTTCCACATTTTTCCTCCACCATTGTTGATCTTCCACATTTTTCCTCCACCATTGTTGATCTTCCACATTTTTCCTCCACCATTGTTGATCTTCCACATTTTTCCTCCACCATTGTTGATCTTCCACATTTTTCCTCCACCATTGTTGATCTTCCACATTTTTCCTCCACCATTGTTGATCTTCCACATTTTTCCTCCACCATTGTTGATCTTCCACATTTTTCCTCCACCATTGTTGATCTTCCACATTTTTCCTCCACCATTGTTGATCTTCCACATTTTTCCTCCACCATTGTTGATCTTCCACATTTTTCCTCCACCATTGTTGATCTTCCACATTTTTCCTCCCCCCTTGTTGATCTTCCACATTTTTCCTCCACCATTGTTGATCTTCCACATTTTTCCTCCACCATTGTTGATCTTCCACATTTTTCCTCCACCATTGTTGATCTTCCACATTTTTCCTCCACCATTGTTGATCTTCCACATTTTTCCTCCACCATTGTTGATCTTCCACATTTTTCCTCCACCATTGTTGATCTTCCACATTTTTCCTCCACCATTGTTGATCTTCCACATTTTTCCTCCACCATTGTTGATCTTCCACATTTTTCCTCCACCATTGTTGATCTTCCACATTTTTCCTCCACCATTGTTGATCTTCCACATTTTTCCTCCCCCCTTGTTGATCTTCCACATTTTTCCTCCACCATTGTTGATCTTCCACATTTTTCCTCCACCATTGTTGATCTTCCACATTTTTCCTCCACCATTGTTGATCTTCCACATTTTTCCTCCACCATTGTTGATCTTCCACATTTTTCCTCCACCATTGTTGATCTTCCACATTTTTCCTCCACCATTGTTGATCTTCCACATTTTTCCTCCACCATTGTTGATCTTCCACATTTTTCCTCCACCATTGTTGATCTTCCACATTTTTCCTCCACCATTGTTGATCTTCCACATTTTTCCTCCACCATTGTTGATCTTCCACATTTTTCCTCCACCATTGTTGATCTTCCACATTTTTCCTCCACCATTGTTGATCTTCCACATTTTTCCTCCACCATTGTTGATCTTCCACATTTTTCCTCCACCATTGTTGATCTTCCACATTTTTCCTCCCCCCTTGTTGATCTTCCACATTTTTCCTCCACCATTGTTGATCTTCCACATTTTTCCTCCACCATTGTTGATCTTCCACATTTTTCCTCCACCATTGTTGATCTTCCACATTTTTCCTCCACCATTGTTGATCTTCCACATTTTTCCTCCACCATTGTTGATCTTCCACATTTTTCCTCCACCATTGTTGATCTTTCCACATTTTTCCTCCACCATTGTTGATCTTCCACATTTTTCCTCCACCATTGTTGATCTTCCACATTTTTCCTCCACCATTGTTGATCTTCCACATTTTTCCTCCACCATTGTTGATCTTCCACATTTTTCCTCCACCATTGTTGATCTTCCACATTTTTCCTCCACCATTGTTGATCTTCCACATTTTTCCTCCACCATTGTTGATCTTCCACATTTTTCCTCCACCATTGTTGATCTTCCACATTTTTCCTCCCCCCTTGTTGATCTTCCACATTTTTCCTCCACCATTGTTGATCTTCCACATTTTTCCTCCACCATTGTTGATCTTCCACATTTTTCCTCCACCATTGTTGATCTTCCACATTTTTCCTCCACCATTGTTGATCTTCCACATTTTTCCTCCACCATTGTTGATCTTCCACATTTTTCCTCCCCCCTTGTTGATCTTCCACATTTTTCCTCCACCATTGTTGATCTTCCACATTTTTCCTCCACCATTGTTGATCTTCCACATTTTTCCTCCACCATTGTTGATCTTCCACATTTTTCCTCCACCATTGTTGATCTTCCACATTTTTCCTCCACCATTGTTGATCTTCCACATTTTTCCTCCACCATTGTTGATCTTCCACATTTTTCCTCCACCATTGTTGATCTTCCACATTTTTCCTCCACCATTGTTGATCTTCCACATTTTTCCTCCACCATTGTTGATATTCCACATTTTTCCTCCACCATTGTTGATCTTCCACATTTTTCCTCCACCATTGTTGATCTTCCACATTTTTCCTCCACCATTGTTGATCTTCCACATTTTTCCTCCACCATTGTTGATCTTCCACATTTTTCCTCCACCATTGTTGATCTTCCACATTTTTCCTCCACCATTGTTGATCTTCCACATTTTTCCTCCACCATTGTTGATCTTCCACATTTTTCCTCCCCCCTTGTTGCTCTTCCTCGAGCTCTCAATCTCCATCTCCCTCCCTCCTTCCCTCTCCCTCGCCCTTGCCGTTCCCACCCGTCCCCCAGCCTTCACCCCCTCACCAATGGTGGTGCTGCGGCGGTGGCGGTGGCGGTGGGGGTGGGGGTGGGAGGGCCAGTGGGCGAGCAGGGCGGGCAGGGAGTCGCCATCGCCGCCCCTGAGAGCCAGGCTGCTGTGCCGCGTGTGCTGCTGCACCACCGGGCACGCTTGCCCGCCTGCAGGGGGCTCTCGGGGGCACGTGGCGGAGCACGTGGCATCACCATCACCCCCGCCTCTGCTGCTCGTGGTGACGTTGTTGTTGCTGCTGCTGCCGCCGCTGCTGCCGCCGCCGTTGCTTGTGGTGGTTGCAGCAGCAGCGGCAGCGGAGGTGGAGGCAAGGAAGTGGTCGAGGGGGGAGGAGGAGGAGCAGAGGGACATGGAGGAGAGGCGCAGGAGGGCAGGCGTGGTGGGTGTGGGGCGGGCGGGGGGCGAGGGGTGCGAGGACGGGCTGAACACGGGGAGAGGCACGGGCAGAGGGCGCTTGGCTAGCCTTGCATCGGCTGTTGGCGCAGGCAGGGGGATGGTGACAGGGGGGTGGTGACAGGGGGGTGGTGACAGGGGGGTGGTGACAGGGGGGTGGTGACAGGGGGGTGGTGACAGGGGGGTGGTGACAGGGGGGTGGTGACAGGGGGGTGGTGACAGGGGGGTGGTGACAGGGGGGTGGTGACAGGGGGGTGGTGACAGGGGGAGGGGAAAAGGAAGGGAAGGGGGGGAGGGAGGGATGGGAGGGGAGGGAAGGGAAGGGATGGAGGGCAAGGGAGGGAGGAAAGGGAGGGAGGGGAAAGGTGTGATGAAGTGACTGGAACAAGGAGGAAGAAGCATCAGTGGAGTGGCATTGATGGCATGGAGAATTACATGTGTGCATGTGACACAAGGAGCACTGGTGGAGCATGGGGGAATGCAGGATGCGGCCACGTCAGCAGCAGCCCTCCAGGGCGGCACAGTGCCACCCACGCGAATTCTTCTCTTATGCACCTGCGGTGTGCCACCTGCTGTGTGCCACCTGCTGTGTGCCACCTGCTGTGTGCCACCTGCTGTGTGCCACCTGCTGTGTGCCACCCACCCACGTGAGTACCTTGCTGCAGCGCCCTGGTGGGCGCCATGCTCATGCTGCGCTGCACAGGACTGCAACTCGCCGCCCCTCCAGCCCCTCCACCTGCTGCTGCTGCTACTGGTGACCACGGGGAGGCAGAGGCAGGCAGCGCAGGGAAGATGCCATCAGCAGCACCCATTGCCCTCATGCCATCAGCAGCACCCATTGCCCTCATGCCATCAGCAGCACCCATTGCCCTCATGCCATCAGCAGCACCCATGGCCCTCATGCCATCAGCAGCACCCATTGCCCTCATGCCATCAGCAGCACCCATTGCCCTCATGCCATCAGCAGCACCCATTGCCCTCATGCGCGCCCCCATCGCCCCCTCGCCCGCCATCCCTTGCTGCTGCTGCTCCCACGGCCGGCCCCCTGCCAGCCAGGCAGTGGCACCGTTGCTGCTGGGGCTGCTGGTGTGGGCGTGGAAGGAGTGGGAGGCGAGCGGCGGAGGGGAAGGGGAAGGGAAGTCCGCGAGGCGCAGGGAGGGGGACGCGGGGGAGGGGCGGTGGGAGGGCGTGTAGTCCAGGATGCTGTTCTGGCGCTCGATCTGATGGAGGGGGGGGGGGGAGAGGAGAGGGGAGGGGGAGAGGGGGTGGGGCGGGGTGGACATGGGAGTTGCGGCAAGAGGGGCGGTGGGAGGGCGTGTGGTCCAGCATGCTGTTCTGGCGCTTGATCTGGGGGGGGGGGGCGGAGGGAAGGGGGAGAGGCGCAGGGGATGATGCGAGTGGACATGGGAATTGGAGGATGAGGGGCAGAGAGGCTGTACGGGTGTGGACAGGGGGAGAAAGGGAATGGGGGGTGGGGAGTCAGGGCGAGGATGTTGAGGAGAATGGATGCAGTGATGCAGTGGTGCAGTGGTGCAGTGGCATGTGCAGCATGAGGTGGCGCCATGCCATGGCACCCCCCCAGCTCAGCTCACCCGCAGCAGCATGAGCTCCTCTCGGAGGCAGCGCAGCCACTCGCTGTGCTTGAGCGCGCAGAACTGCTTCTCCTCGCCCACCCGCCCCCCCGCCTCCGCCAGGTCGCGCCGCTTCACTATCTTGATGTCGCCCCCCCCCAGCACGCGGCTGGCTGGTTGGGGGAGACGTGGGGAGAGGGGAGGCGAGGAGCAGGAAAGGAAGTGGGATGTGCAGATGATGAGTTGGATAGTGCAGATGCCGCTTCACCATCTTTACGTGCAGGGAGGAGAGGGGACGAAAGGGGAGCGGAGGGGAGGAGCAGGGCTTAGGAGGAATGCTACGAAGGGGGTTTTAGTAGTTTGGAAGATAATATGGGTGTAGCAGCGTGAATGAGATGCACAGCATGAAGACTCCAACAGCTCCGACACCATGTGCCATGCCATGCCATGCCGTGCCGTGCCATGCCGTGCCGTGCCATGCCATGCCGTGCCGTGCCATGCCATGCCATGCCATGCCGTGCCATGCCATGCCATGCCATGCCATGCCGTGCCGTGCCATGCCATGCCATGCCATGCCATGCCATGTCACGTCCACAGGTGACATTCCTCTCACCAACCATGACGCCTTCTGCTCATCATGCCTATCCCATCTCATCCCATCCCTCCTCCACATCTCCGACCTCTCGTTACATGCTCTGCTCTGCTCTGCTCTGCTCGTCCCCAAGTCTCCTCACGCGCCCTCTCCCCTCACCCCACCCACTCTCACATCCCTCACCCCTCCAACGCCCCCTGCGCGTTCCCCTTGTGCCCAACTCACCTTCCTCAGTCTCACCTTCCTCAATCTCACCTTCCTCAGTCTCACCTTCCTCAGTCTCACCTTCCTCAGTCTCACCTTCCTCAGTCTCACCTTCCTCAGTCTCACCTTCCTCAATCTCACCTTCCTCAATCTCACCTTCCTCAATCTCACCTTCCTCAGTCTCACCTTCCTCAGTCTCACCTTCCTCAGTCTCACCTTCCTCAGTCTCACCTTCCTCAGTCTCACCTTCCTCAGTCTCACCTTCCTCAGTCTCACCTTCCTCAGTCTCACCTTCCTCAGTCTCACCTTCCTCAGTCTCACCTTCCTCAGTCTCACCTTCCTCAGTCTCACCTTCCTCAGTCTCACCTTCCTCAGTCTCACCTTCCTCAGTCTCACCTTCCTCAGTCTCACCTTCCTCAGTCTCACCTTCCTCAGTCTCACCTTCCTCAGTCTCACCTTCCTCAGTCTCACCTTCCTCAGTCTCACCTTCCTCAGTCTCACCTTCCTCAGTCTCACCTTCCTCAGTCTCACCTTCCTCAGTCTCACCTTCCTCAGTCTCACCTTCCTCAGTCTCACCTTCCTCAGTCTCACCTTCCTCAGTCTCACCTTCCTCAGTCTCACCTTCCTCAGTCTCACCTTCCTCAGTCTCACCTTCCTCAGTCTCACCTTCCTCAGTCTCACCTTCCTCAGTCTCACCTTCCTCAGTCTCACCTTCCTCAGTCTCACCTTCCTCAGTCTCACCTTCCTCAGTCTCACCTTCCTCAGTCTCACCTTCCTCAGTCTCACCTTCCTCAGTCTCACCTTCCTCAGTCTCACCTTCCTCAGTCTCACCTTCCTCAATCTCACCTTCCTCAATCTCACCTTCCTCAGTCTCACCTTCCTCAGTCTCACCTTCCTCAGTCTCACCTTCCTCAGTCTCACCTTCCTCAGTCTCACCTTCCTCAGTCTCACCTTCCTCAGTCTCACCTTCCTCAATCTCACCTTCCTCAGTCTCACCTTCCTCAATCTCACCTTCCTCAGTCTCACCTTCCTCAGTCTCACCTTCCTCAGTCTCACCTTCCTCAGTCTCACCTTCCTCAGTCTCACCTTCCTCAATCTCACCTTCCTCAGTCTCACCTTCCTCAGTCTCACCTTCCTCAGTCTCACCTTCCTCAGTCTCACCTTCCTCAGTCTCACCTTCCTCAGTCTCACCTTCCTCAGTCTCACCTTCCTCAGTCTCACCTTCCTCAGTCTCACCTTCCTCAATCTCACCTTCCTCAGTCTCACCTTCCTCAATCTCACCTTCCTCAATCTCACCTTCCTCAGTCTCACCTTCCTCAGTCTCACCTTCCTCAGTCTCACCTTCCTCAGTCTCACCTTCCTCAGTCTCACCTTCCTCAGTCTCACCTTCCTCAGTCTCACCTTCCTCAGTCTCACCTTCCTCAGTCTCACCTTCCTCAATCTCACCTTCCTCAGTCTCACCTTCCTCAGTCTCACCTTCCTCAGTCTCACCTTCCTCAATCTCACCTTCCTCAGTCTCACCTTCCTCAATCTCACCTTCCTCAATCTCACCTTCCTCAGTCTCACCTTCCTCAGTCTCACCTTCCTCAGTCTCACCTTCCTCAGTCTCACCTTCCTCAGTCTCACCTTCCTCAGTCTCACCTTCCTCAGTCTCACCTTCCTCAGTCTCACCTTCCTCAGTCTCACCTTCCTCAGTCTCACCTTCCTCAATCTCACCTTCCTCAGTCTCACCTTCCTCAGTCTCACCTTCCTCAGTCTCACCTTCCTCAATCTCACCTTCCTCAGTCTCACCTTCCTCAGTCTCACCTTCCTCAATCTCACCTTCCTCAGTCTCACCTTCCTCAATCTCACCTTCCTCAGTCTCACCTTCCTCAGTCTCACCTTCCTCAGTCTCACCTTCCTCAGTCTCACCTTCCTCAGTCTCACCTTCCTCAATCTCACCTTCCTCAGTCTCACCTTCCTCAATCTCACCTTCCTGGCGCAGGGCATGGGCGTCGGGGTCGGAGAGCACGGCGCTCATGAACACGCTGCGCGCGCGCGACAGGAAGTCCAGCCGCACCGGCGACGATGCCGCCGCTGCACCTGGTGCTGCTGCTGCTGTGGCTGCTGCTAAGGGTGGAGCTGCAGTGGATGAGGCCGATGGGCTGGTGGTTGGGGCTGCGGCGGGGCTGCAAGGGGAGAGGGAGGAGGAAGGGGGGAATGTGGCAGGGGGAGAGAGGGAGGGGGAGTGGGAGAGGGGGGTTGAGAGGGGTTGGTGGAGTGGAGATGCCGGGGTGAAGTGGGAGGGACGAGGGGGCGGGAGAAATGACATGGATGATGGACGATGATGGGGCCGCGCGGACCATGGTGAGAGGCATGTGATGTGATGAGAGGGCCATGTGATGTGATGGAAGGGGCATATGACTGGAGGAGCATGCGAAGGGCATGTGAGGGGAAGCTGATGAGCAGAGCACTGTTTAGGGTTTAGGGTTTAGTGCTAAGAGATGGCGACAGGAAAGTGGAATGCAGGCACGGTTCAGGTAAGAACGACACAAGCGTTGGCTTGGCAGAAGATTCGCAGGGACAGTAGATTCGCAGAGACAGTTGATTCGCAGGGACAGAAGATTCGCAGGGACAGTAGATTCGCAGGGACTAAGAGTGCGGTAGCGAGGTAGTAGGGGCGGGTAAGAGAGGCTGGAATGACACGGGCAGTGGAGCAGCGGGGTAGTGGGTGGGGGGGCAGCACCTGGTGTTGATGCGAGCAGCAGCAGCAGCGGTGGGAAGGTCGACATCCACCACCTGCGATGCGATTGGATGGCAGGCGAGGGGTGGGAGCGAGAGGGGTGAGAGAGAGAGGGGTGGGAGAGAGAGGGGTGGGAGAGAGAGGGGTGAGAGAGAGAGGGATGGGAGAGAGAGGGGTGAGAGAGAGAGGGGTGGGAGAGAGAGGGGTGAGAGAGAGAGGGGTGGGAGAGAGAGGGGTGAGAGAGAGAGGGGTGGGAGAGAGAGGGGTGGGAGAGAGAGGGGTGAGAGAGAGAGGGGTGGGAGAGAGAGGGGTGAGAGAGAGAGGGGTGGGAGAGAGAGGGGTGGGAGAGAGAGGGGTGGGAGAGAGAGGGGTGAGAGAGAGAGGGGTGGGAGAGAGAGGGGTGAGAGAGAGAGGGGTGGGAGAGAGAGGGGTGGGAAAGAGAGGGGTGGGAGAGAGAGGGGTGGGAGAGAGAGGGGTGGGAGAGAGAGGGGTGGGAGTGGGGAAAGGGGTTGGAGAGAACAAGAGGACGAGAAAGCGCCGTTTCAGTAGATTGCTATACCTTGGGCTTTCATACCTGGTAGGCGCAGCGCAGGTCAGCACAGGTAGGCGCAGGCAGCACCGCCTCGACGCACCACGACCCCCCCAGTTCACTCGCACGCATGCACCCAGCCCAGCCAGCCCACTTGCATGGGTCCCATTCCACCCCATCCCACCGCATCCCACCTGCACGGAGCCCACCTGCACGGAGCCAGACGGCTGCATGACGGTTAGCAGCCCGTCCTCTCCGCCCCGCTGCTGCCCCTCGCCCTGCGCCCTCGCTCCCCCTCGCATGGCGCCACTGCTGCCCCCGCACGCACGGCGCGGAGGGGGGGTGAGCGGGAGGAGGGGAAGAGCAGGAGGGGAATGAAGGCGAATGTTGGATGGAAGGGAAGATGAAGGAGGTGGTGAGGGCGAGAGGAGATGGAGAAGCGCAGGCACTGAGGCTAGCAGGGCATTACGGCTGCCATGACATCCTGAAATGTGTGAGGTCGGGGAGGTGAGTTTCTTTGGATATGAGAGCTTTCCAGGGTACAAAGGTGTGAACACTGAAATGCTCACACAAGTTTCGCTGCATGGGTTTGGACTTGCCAATGTTACCACGATTTCATGCGACAATCAAACCCATCTCACGAGATCGCGTACGGAACACTCTGCGACCGATCAGTGCTGGCCTGCCGCCGAGGGCATTCTTGGTTCCCATGAAGCAGAAGCAGAAAGCACACCGTCATCCATACCACACCCTAGAACGTTTGGCTAAGAAACCGTGATTATAGTCAGTTGCTCGTGATTATAGTCAGTCGCTCGTGATTATAGTCAGTTGCTCGTGATTATAGTCAGTCGCTCGTGAAAATCCCATCACAGATTTAGAAAGGAAGTCCACAACGTCAGTGAGGTCAAGTGATGCCGATTACATGCGGGGTGCCGTGGAACCCGAGGCATGGAGTCACTCCCCCCCCCGGATCAACAATGATCCATAGGAAGGTTTGCACCGCGCGACGCCATACAATCAAGGCACCGCGACCAACTATCGCCTCGTGAAATAACAAGAAGATCGGCATCCATTCGTCCACGACCGTTTAGGGTCGGTGACGACGGTGCCACTCCCCTTTCCCACACGGTATCAAGGCCCTGTTCCCCCAAGTACCACTCCCCTTTCCCCACGGTCGCCCGCACCATCTCCCCACCGTCGCACTCCCCATTTCCCCACGGTCGCACTCCCTTGATCCCCCCAGTACCACCCTCTTTCCCCCACGGTATCACTCCCATTTCCCCACGGTCGCACTCCCTTGTTCCCCCAAGTACCACCCCCTTTCCCCCACGGTATCACTCCCCTTTCCCCCACGATCGCACTCCACTTTCCCCCACGGTCGCACAGAATTGCCCCACGGGAGCACTACCGTTCCCTCACAGTGTCGCTCCCCTGGCCCCACGGAAGACATCCATTTCCCCCTCGCTACCACTCCCCTTCCCCGACGCTACCACTCCCCTTCCCCGACGCTAACACTCCCCTTCCCCGACGCTACCACTCCCCTTCCCCCACGCTAGCGTGCCCCTTCCCCCATGCTAGCACTCTCCTTCCCCCTCGCTAGCCCTCCCCTTCCTCGTCTCTAGGACGGTAGGAGATGTTCGCCTGAAGCCCTGCATGCGAGTTGAACGACATTGCATAATCTTTGGGCGAATTAGGCTGCTGGTCGTTCCTCCATTCTAAATTCGAGATACGACCGCACCAGCGTCTTACGTTAGGCGACTCTCTTGCTCCACCCAGGGCTGGGAGTGACTCCACGATTTTCCTCGCGCCAAAGCTGACGCCTTGCCCACGCTACTAGTACGCCTTCGTTGGCGTGACCTAAGCCAATCAAAGGACAAAATGCGCGTTTCTGCGAAATAGTTGCGCAGACGTGGTCCACTATGTCGAACCTATGCCTAATGTGGGCATTCTCATTGGCTGGATATGGTAAGTTGATGACCTACGAAAGCGGAGGCTCTGATACTCGTCGATAGTCATTTACAGTGGTGACCTACACTAAGGGCGTGTCCAGCTCGTACGTTTTCGGTTCATATACAGTTCATCTACCGTGGTGCAAAATCAATATCAAAAGGTGCAAAGCGATTATCTTTTTCACCTTTGTTCACCGTGACGCAAAGCGGTCAACCGCACAAAATGAACTGAAAACGTACGAGCTGGACACGCCCTAAAAGACTGTAAAATACCCGCAGCTTTCAGGTTTCCTACCAGTTATCTGTGCGACACTTGAAGGTGCGGACGACCTTGTAGCTACAGTAATTTCGGGTGGTGTTTTTTTGCGGAGATGCTTGTACCGTCTTTCAGTGCCCCACGCTGTCAACAGGGTTACACCCAACAAAGGTTGGTTGGTTGAACCAGTCTTGCTAAACTTGTGACCCCGGTTTTGAAATTAAGACTACCCGACTAAATATGATCTGTCTGAAACAATAGTGCAGGTTTCTTTGGGCCAGCCCGTGGAACCTGTTCAAGCCTGCCAGGGGGGTAAAAACAGCGTTGCAGGGAAGCCAGGTTGAAAAGGATCCAAGCAGAGAGGAGGACCCCACTGCTGAACCTTCCATTTTCCTCCTGAAACCCTAAATTGCAAATACCCGTTTGCAAAGGCCACACTCCCTAGTGCATGTTGCAAATGCCTATGTGGATAGGCGTTCAACGCCGAGCGGTGCAATCAACCCATGACAGGTGTCGTGTGTCTGACGACAAAATGAAGTGCTCCCCTTAGCAACGAATAGCCGAGCCAAGGCAGGCAGCGGATCGCGCGATGGAGCTTCCGCCCGATGCCCAGCGGGGCAAAAGCCGCGCGGCGGCCGTGAGCCCGTTGGTGCTGCGCGAAATCGTCGCCGTGCGACGCGCGCATCCCGAGCTCGCGAACGAGCACATCGCGACGGCCGTCAACGCGCAGTACGGCACGCGCCTCGGCAGCAGCGACATCGATCGACTCTATCGAAAGGCCACCGTCGAAAGCAGCGTAGGGAAGAATAAGTTCGTTCGTTATAAGAACGCGGAGCTTGAGGCGGAGTTGGCGCGTTGGACGCGCGAGAGGCGGCTCCGTCTCGAAGCGTGGTGGGCGGCGCGGGGGAAGACAAAGGTCCAGAGGTCGAGCATCGTGCATAACCTGCAGAAACACGCGCGGCGCGTCGCAGAGCGGTTCGGCGTGCCTCCTCTGTTCGAGTTCGAGCGCTGGTGGTGCTGCGAAGTGCTGCGCGACGCGGGTCTCGACGAGTGCGGCGAGGAGGTGGGGACGCGCTCGGGGGACGAAGGGGGGACGCGGGGGAGGGACGAGGCGGAAACGCGCGACACGCAGGGGGAGAAACAGGACGACCGCGTCGCACGCGGTAACGGAGAGGCGCCGGACTCCGCTAGTGCTGGCGAAGGCGGCTTAGGCGGCGCTGCGGCAGGCGAGCTGAGTGCGGGCACAAGCGGCGGGGGCGATGAGGGCGGAGAGGCCGACGAGGAGCAGGTACCTGCGGGCGCACCGTCGTGGGCGCGGGGCAGCGCCGCCGCGGCCGTGCGCTCCAGCAGCACGCCCAACGGCGGGTCGGCCGCGGCGCCGGGCGCGGCCAACGCGGCTGCGAGCGCGCTGGCAGCGCGCGTGCGGTACGAGGTGGCGATGCTGGCGTGCGTGCGGCCGTTCCTGAGCCCGCGGATCGTGACGGCCGCCGTGCACGCGCGCTACGGGCTGTGGCTCATCCCCAAGTACGTCCGCCACATCGTCCAGGAGAGCCGCCGCTGGGTGCGCGCGGACGCGGGGGAGGGGAGCGCGCCCGGCGCGGCGGACGCGGGGGAGAGCGCGCTGGAGGAGGCAGTGGCGCTGTGGGTGGTGGCGGAGGAGGAGGGCGCGGGGCGCGCTGTGAGCCGCGCGCAGCTGGTGGGGAAGGCGAGGGAGCTGGCACGGGGGTGCGGCGTGGAGGAGGGGCGGTGCACTGAGTCATGGGCGAGCAGGTTCGTGCGGCGGTACGGGCTGCTGCTGCTGCGCCTGGCTGAGGCACGCCGGGGCGCCGGGGAGGGGGGCGATGGGGAGAGGACAGGAGTGGAGAAGGGGAAGGGCGGAGGGGCGGAAGGAAGAAGTGGGAGTGAAGTGGAGTGGTGGCGGAGAGGCAGGAGGAGGCTGAGGAAGAAAGTGAGGCGCATGGGAACAGCGAGTGACGATGAGGATGCGGAGGGGGAGAACTTTGAGGAGGAGTATGAGGAGGACTGGGCGGGGTTTGATGGTTGTGATGCTGCTGGTACTGCTGGTGCAGCTGGGGCTGCTGGTGGTGCTACTGCTGCTGCTGGGGCGAGCGCGAGCAGGAGCACGGGGTGGGAGAGGGACAGGCGGATGGGGCTGCTGGCGGGGGTGGAGAACCCGTACCGCCATGCACGCGCTCTGCTCATGCGCCTGGCTCGCCACGAGGGCGCCATGCTGCCCTCCCACGTGCTGGAGGAGGCCCTTCTGGACGCCCACCTGCTGCCGCCACTGCCAGCATCAGAATCACCAGTACCAGCGCCACGAGAGGACCACGTGCAGCGTGGCGAGTCATCAGCGCCAGCAGCGCCATCAGCGCCAGCAGCGCCAGCAGCGCCAGCAGAGGGACGTGAGGAGCCTGTGGGCCGTGCTGTGTCACAGGGAGAGGCGGTGGAGAGGCAAGGGGAGGCAGACCTGGGGCGAGCAGGGGATGGTGGCGGTGGGAGAGGGGAGGGAACAGGGGATGGTGGCAGTGGGAGAGAAGAGGGTGCAGTGGGTGGCACCGAACAGTCCCCATCTCCTTGGCACGATGATGCATGGCGCTCCGTGTCCCCTCTGCCCGCCATGGACAGCCCCGAGCTGCAGGCGCTGCAGAGGGAGGTGAGCACCGAGAGCGTTGTGCTGCCCCACTTCCACTTCCACCGCCTGCCGCCCGCCTTCCGGGGCAGCACTGGTGGGGGAGAGGGGGCAGGTGGAAGGGGGGGGGAGCGAAGAGGAGGCGAGAGTGGAGGCGGGAGGGCTGAGGAGGAGGCGGGGGTGGAGCAGGAGGAGGGAGAGGGGGAGGGCGGGCGGGTGTACCTGGTGTGTGGGGATGCGGCGGCAGGCGTGGTGGTGGAGCGGCAGCTGCCAGGCCTCACACTGAGTCGCATCAGAGCCATCTGCCTGGCCGCCCTCGCCCGCCCCCACCTGCCCCACGCCCACCTGCTGCACGCCATTGACCAGGCGTGGGGGCTGGTGCTCTCCCCCCTTGACCTGCGCGCCATCCTCGCCCAGACCCCCAGGTGTGCCTCCCTCGCCTCGCCCCCCCTTCCACCACCCTCGCTCCCTCACTCGCCCTCCACCATCTTTGCCTTGGCACCGTCGTCAGTCATCTCTGCACTCCCTCTACTTCTCCTCCCCCCCGCTCTTTCACACCCGTCCCCCTCCCCATTCTCCCCGCGTCCCCCTGCAGGTGGATGGTGCTGCCGGGGGGCATAGAGAGGGCGGGGGTGGAGGGGCGGGTGAAGGAGCGCGTGCAGAGGGAGGAGGGGCAGAGGGCGGGGCGAGTGGAGGTGGTGCTGCTGCAGTGGGTGCAGCAGCTGTCCGCCACCATCCTCCTCGACCGCGCCCGCTTCTCCTTCCCGCCTGGCTTCCGCTGGGGCTCGCCTGCTGCTGAAGCCAGCAGTGCTGCTGCTGGTTCTGCTGCTGCCGCCGGTGCTGCAACTCCCAGTGGTGCTCAGAGTGGAGACGGTGAGGATGGTGGCACTGCTGCTGCTGCAGGTGGGATCATGGAGGAGCATATGAGGCGCCTCTTTGGCCCACTGGACCCGGGAGGGGGGTCATCCACCACCGTTCAACCTCATCTTGGTGGGACCGTGAGCGCGCAGGTGGGTGGGAGCCTGCTGGGGAAGCACGGGGTGCCGTTCATTCTCACGCGCCCCATGCTGCGCCAGGCAGCCCGCCGCATCGCCCCGCTGCTGTACCGCAGCGGCAGGGGCTACCCCAAGCTCGAGATCTACTGGTGCCGCCGCTTCCTGCGCCGCCTCGAGGCCCTGCGGTCGCTGGCACGCCTGAAGCTCACTTCTGCCCGCCAGGGGGACCCGGCGCCCGTTGTGATCCGGTGGCCGAGTGAGGGGCCGAGTGAGGGGCCGAGTGAGGGGCATAGGGAGGACGAGGGCGCGGAGGAGGGGATGAGTGCGGGTGGGAGAGAGGGAGAGGTTTGGGAGAGGAACGATGCCGCTGCCAGTGCTGTTGATGCTCCTGCTGATGGTGCTACTGCTGGTGATGGTGCTACTGCTGGTGATGGTGCTACTGCTGGTGATGATGCTGCTGCTGGTGATGGTGCTGCTGCTGGTGATGGTGCTACTGCTGGTGATGGTGCTACTGCTGGTGATGGTGCTACTGCTGGTGATGGTGCTACTGCTGGTGATGGTGCTGCTGCTGGTGATGGTGCTACTGCTGGTGATGGTGCTACTGCTGGTGATGGTGCTACTGCTGGTGATGGTGCTACTGCTGGTGATGGTGCTACTGCTGGTGATGGTGCTACTGCTGGTGATGGTGCTACTGCTGGTGATGGTGCTGCTGCTGGTGATGGTGCTGCTGCTGGTGATGGTGCTGCTGCTGGTGATGGTGCTACTGCTGGTGATGGTGCTACTGCTGGTGATGGTGCTACTGCTGGTGATGGTGCTGCTGCTGGTGATGGTGCTACTGCTGGTGATGGTGCTACTGCTGGTGATGGTGCTACTGCTGGTGATGGTGCTGCTGCTGGTGTTGTAGCGAGTGCTGCAGCTAGGGAGCGGCAAGAGGAGGCGTGGCGAAGGCATTTTCTGCAGCGTGTGGAGCGACATGTGCAGGAGTTGAGAGAGGTGCAGCGAGGTGGGAGAGAAACTCGTGGAGCAGATGAAACGCGTGGAGCAGATGAAACACGTGGAGCAGATGAAACACGTGGAGCAGATGAAACACGTGGAGCAGATGAAGCACGTGGAGCAGATGGTTCAAAGGTGGGAGATAGAGGGGAAGCTAGACTGGAAGCGAGGGGAGAAGTGAGAGAGGAGGGAATTGGTGGAGGAAAGCGAGATGAGGAAAAACATGAGCGACATGGTGAAGCGGGAGGGCGGGTGAGAGAGGATGAAATGGCTGACGAGTTGCAGGCGGCAGGGGAGGTGGCGCCGGCACCGGTGGCTGTGGGTGCAGCGGCAGGTGAGCCAGCAGCAGCAGTGGTGGTGGCGGCGGTGCAGCGGGCGCTGTGTGAGTGGGTGGCGGAGGGGGTGGTGGGGCGGCGAGCGGACGAGGAGGAGGCGCGGGAGCAGGCAGTGGTGGTGGGCGCGGTGCAGGCCACGTGGGGCGTGGCGGTGGGCGAGGAGCTGCTGGCTCTGCTGTGGCAGCAGCGCTCCCAGCTGCTGGGCCACGCGTGGGAGGGGCGCATCAGAGCACGGCTGGCAGGTGGCGTGCAGCAGAGGGAGGGTGGCGATGGGGAGAAGGAGGTGAAGGCTGGGGATGATGGTGAGGGGCAGGTGGGGCAGGTGAAGGGGCAGGTGGGGCAGGAGAAGGGAAAGGTGGGGCAGGAGAAGGGAAGGGTGGGGCAGGAGAAGGGGCAGGTGGGGCAGGAGAAGGGGCAGGTGGGGCAGGAGAAGGTTCAGGTGGGGCAGGAGAAGGGGCAGGTGGGGCAGGAGAAGGGAAAGGTGGGGCAGGAGAAGGGCGTTTATGGGGACCCCAGCGCGGTGCTGCTGCAGTGGGTGGCGTGGCGGGACGTGCGTGCATTGCTGCTGGCACTGGACGGGCCGCAGTGGCATGGCAGGCTGCTGGCACGTGTGGCATGCAAGGTGTATCGGGGGGTTGTATGCAGGGCCGGGCAGGACCACTGCACCGTGCATGCGGTGAAGCAAGGTGCAAGCAGGGACGGGCAGGGCCAGCGCACGGTGCATGCAGTGGCGCAAGGTGTGTGTGGTGGAGGTGGAGGGAACGGGAAGAGGAGGCGTGAAGGGGAGGGAACGTGGGTGCGATGCGTGCGACAAGGGTACTGGTACTTTGATCGCAGTGGGATTGCTGATGCTCATGTTGGTGATGGTGGTGATGGTGGGAATAACGATGATAGTGATGATGATGATGGTGGTGCTGGCGATGGTGGTGGTGGTGGCGGTGGTGGTGGCATGGGATCATGGCCACACAGCGAGCACCAAGTGGGAGGTCGAAGCCACCCTGCAGGGCGGCAGTACAGCGCAGCGCCTGCCTGCCAGCCACGGCCGATTGCTCCCCGCCCCACCCCGCCCACGGCAGAGGCAGCGCTGGCAGGTGCAGGAGCAGCAGCGACGGTGGGGGTGGGGGTGGGGGTGGGGGCAGTGCAGCATGGGCAGAGCACAGCAATGGGTGCATGGGGTGGCGCACAGGCAGCAGCAGCAGCAGGCAGATGGCAGCAGGTGCACTCCACACAGACTGCAGCAGCAATGCCCGCACGCTCACACGCTCACACCACGCCATCAGCTGCTGGCCCCGTGCCTGCTTCTCTGCCCCTGCGCTCCTCTAATCTGCAGGCATTGCAGCAGAGCCAGCATCTCGGGCAGCTGCTTGCAGCACAGGGGGGCTCTCAGCCCATTCCCGCACAGCCCTGCCACCCGGGTTCCTATCCACCCGCGTCGTACCAACCCACCTCATATGGGCCCACCTCTTATCGGCCCACTTCTAATCAACCTACTTCTTATCAGCAGCACACCTCTCATCAACCCACTCCTTATCAGCCCACTTCTTATCAACCCACCTCTTATCAGCCCACTGCTTATCAACCCACCTGTTATCAGCCCAACTCTTATCAGCCCACCTCTTATCAGCCCACCTCTTATCAACCCACCTCTTATCAACCCAGCCCTTATCAGCCCAGCTCCCGTCCGCTTGGCACACCCCAACCGAGTCGTCTCCACCAACCCTATGCTTCCCAGCAGCACCCTCCCCTCTCTCACGTTCCCTCCTCTCACCCTCCCCCCTCTTACCCTCCCCTATCTGCATGCGTTGAGGGTCAGGGAACGCGAAGGAGGGAGGGGAGGAAAAGGAAGTTGCAACGATTGAATCGGGCAGGTAGAAAGGTTCCGAAGGATGGGCGGGCAGGGAAACGGGCAGCAAAAGGATCAGCTTTTCAGAATGCATGGAAGATGCTGATGGTGCGAGGGGGTGAGGAGGGCGAGGAGGGAGAGGAGGGTGAGGAGGGAGAGGAGGGAGAGGAGGAGAGGCAGCGAGACAGGGGGAAATCGAAGCGCAATGGGGAGCAGAGGAGGGTTACATGGGGGGATGCGCGCAAGGGAGTGAATGGCAGGCGGGATAGAAAGGCAGGGGTTGATGGTAGAAGCAGTGGTGGCGATAGCAGTAGTGACAGTGAGAGCAGTGCGAGTGGGAGTGAGAGTGGGAGTGAGAGTGGGAGCGAGAGTGACGGGTCTGAGGAGGGCAGCAGAGATGAGAGCACACAGGGAGGGGAGAGCAGCCGAGTTCACCCAGGTATCACAGCAGGCAGGGGGCAGCAGGCAGGAAGAGGGGGTGCGGGCGCGAGCAGCAGGCGGGGGAGGTTGCATCCAGGGCTGGAGTTCTTCGTGCAGGCAGAGGCAGCAGGAGCCATGCAGGCCACGCCTGGGGAAGGTACATCTGTGCCGCTCTCTCTCTCCCAGAATCTGGCTGAAGCAGTGGTGGAGACGGCACTTGTGGCGGCAGCAGTGGCCACTCCTGCTGCCACTGCTCCTGCTGCCACTGCTCCTGCTGCCACTGCTCATACTGCCACTGCTGCTGCTGCTGCTGGCACTGCTGCTGCTGTCACTGCTGCTGCTACTGCTGGTGGCACTGCTGCTGCTGCTGCTGCTGCTGGTGGCACTGCTGCTGCTGCTGGCACTGCTGCTGCTGCTGCTGCTGCTGCTGGTGGCGGCATGGAGACGATTGTGACACCAGGAGTGGTGAGAGCCATGGGGGGCATGGGGCCCCCAAGCAGGCAGCATGGCTCTCATCATCCACCCGGGATGGCTGCCACTGCTTCCGATGCTGCCATGGCTTTGGTGCTTCAACGACTGCAGTCAACAGTGCGGCTTCAACCGTCAATGCCGATTCAGGAGGGGAATTGGCTGTTGCAATATCTGTCCTCGAATGTGCAGCAGGTGCAGCAGCAGCACCAGCAGCAGCAGCAAAAGTGGGAGCAGCGTATACACCAGTTGACACAAGCGCATGAGCCACAACCACAGCAGCAGGTGCTGTTGCCGACTCATGAGGCGAGTCAGCAGCAGCTGAGGCTACAGATACAGCAGCAGCAGCAACTGCTGCTCCAGCAGCAGCAGCAGCTTCAGCAGCAGGAGCAACAGCAGCTGGTGCTACAGCAGTGCGTGCAGCAAGTAGCAGCAGTAGCCGTGATGCAAAGGCAGGAGATTCACGAGCTACAGCAGCAGGTGCAGCAACGACACCAGCAGCAACGAGAATAAGCATGACTCCATGAGTGGCAGGTACAGCATGTTGGTGGTGTCAAAGTACGTTCAGTATTACTAAGTGTATATTTGATCAGCTAGCTATGTTTGCGCTGAACAGGGCTGGGCTACTACGGTACTACTTGAGGCACCTTGCATGAACATACTAGTCCATTCTTCTCCTTACATATGCGAAACCCCGTCTGCGTATGCCACCCGGAATTGTTAGAGCGGGGAATACAGCAGCTTGGATTGCCACCATAAGTGCAAACCAACCAAGGCACGCAGCACACGAGTAGAGCTTTTATGGTAGAATATGTAGTCTCATTCCTAATGTACACTACATGACTCAGCCAGCCAAACCGGTAAGCCAAAGCTTGTTCCTGGCCTCCAAGCAACCGCATGCAGTTGCTCGCACCTCTGCTCCATCAACCCCTGGCCATCTGATGCCCCTCTGCCACTGCTGGCCAGCGCCTCCTTGCCCCCCGCCCATCCAACTAGGGTTGCACATACTTCACTTGTCCTCCGGCCCCTGCATAGGGGACGCAATTGGTTCACACAGTTGCAACGGGAGGGGGCAAGTGGAGGGCAGGGCAGGTCACAGCATAAGATGCGAGATGGTAGACCGTGCCAGTGCAGAGCCTGCTCCCTCTTCCTGTAGCCGGCGTCACACTCGCAAATGCACGAGAAATTATTTCTGTCTTGCTGGCCTACGTGCAACTGGGCATCGGCAGGGCAGGCAGGCTTGCACTTGGTTGGCGTCATTGGGAGGTGGGGGGCGGGGGAGAGGGGAAAGAGCATGATGCTGAGTGGGCTGAAAGGAGAGGGAGGAAGGTAGTGACACAAAAGCACCACAACCACTCCAACTCACACTCGCCCACAAGCACTCCAAGTCGCACTCGCCCACAACCACTCCAACTCACACTCGCCCACAACCACTCCAGCTCACACTCGCCCACAACCACTCCATGTAATCCAGTGGAGTGACTCTCCAAGTAATCCTCTTGCCCCCTCCCTTTTTCCCTCTGCCCCTCTCGCCCTCTTGCCCTCTTTCCCCCTCAACCTCTTGCCCTCTTCCCCAGCTTGTTCACTGGCCGTTGAAGCAAGGCCCTGGTCTCACGAACAAGAGAACCTGCCGGCTGATTCATACATGTGGGCAAGCACGCAACAAGCAGCAAGGCACCTACGAGGAGGAGCAGCGCGGCAGAGCTTCTTGGCTGCGTTGAACACGAGGCCCTCGGGGCAATGGCACTGCTGCTGGCCGTCCTTCACAACGCACTCAGCAGCTCCACAATCCTTGTGGCACGTGGCTGTTGAGGGCAGCACAGAGGGACAAAATATGCAGGCATGTAGAGACAGGTGGTCAAAAGCAATACATTTCAGGCATCAGGAGGCAAATATGAGAATAGTGTGGAAGTGGGTGTGTGCCTTGCTCTCTCTTATTGTACCTCCCATGTTGTTGGTTGTGTCAGAACGTGCTCGGAAATCGTATGTAGTATGCACTTGACATATGTTAAGTAGAGTGATGCTAACGTTAGTTTATGCGTGCACCCAATACATACTTATAACACAGCTGACTGAATGCGATGAATATGCTGCTTTGACAGACCTGAGAGAGGGATAGGTAAGGATTGGGAAGACAAAGGATGAGGACGAATCACGACAGCTCCTCTATTCACACTTGACAGGGCATGCATCACACATGTGCCGTGCATCACACTCACACACCTCTTCGTGACGGGGTAGGAACGGCCCGTCCTCGCAGGACGTGCGATCGTGGGGCCTGGCTTCCCCGTGCAGCCCCAGGCGGAATAGAGCGCCAGCCTCTTGCACATGCCCTTGCCAACCGGCGCGAGCTTCGGGTCATCCCACACGACGGTGATCTTGGCGCCGCTGATGCTGGGGTCCAGGTTGGTGCACATGGTGATGCCGTTGGCCTGCTCCGCCGGTACCGCGGTGGTGAAGGTGAGACGATAATTGTCGGTGTTGCTCCCACTCAGCTGCACTGACGTCCGCACCATGTAAGCTGAATGGTCGTTGAGACAGTTGGCGCAATGATTGATGTGATTGATTGATGCCAACGCATCATTGATTGATTGATGCCACAGCCGGCCGGCAAAAGGGGGGTTGAAGACGTTGAGTTGGAGGCGGACAGGGTAAAGAGGAGGAAGAGGGCAGACAGGAAGGAAGGTGCGGGAGGAGTGAGGAGACGAAAAAAACGCAGCAATGCCTCTAAGCAATGTCTGCAGAAACGTGAATGTGTAGGAAAATGTCTTGGCTACAGCTCAGCAGTGGAGCACTCACGAAAGCACGTCTTGTCAGCCTCGTTGAAGAGAAAGGCGCCGCTGTTGCACTCGCACACAGTACCGCTCCAGCTGTCAACGCAGGTTGCGTCAGGCCCACAGTCCTTGCCAGAGATAACACACCGGTCTGCGAGAAAGTCATGGGCGGATTCAAGGTGAGTATGCGAATGAAACTCTTGCTTATGAACTCACCCCCACTCGCACACTCACCCACACTCCAGTGAACTAGTGGAAAGGGAGAAGAAGAATGGACGGGAAAAGGCTACGACAGAAAAGGCAAGCTTTGACTTCGGGCAGCCATAGCTGATCCCAGTGGTGTGTGCCGGTCAGCCTACTCACCCTTTCTAGCGGCGCTGGCGAGGGTCGCGAACGACACCCGCGACGAGTGCGGCGAGGCCACACAGGCCGGACAGGCACGCGCAGGGCCTCATGGCGACAGCGGACGTTTTGGGAAAAGGGGAGGCGGAAACGCGGGGATCGCGATATGACGTCGGGATGGCGATTAGAAGCTTCAGATCAGGGTTGAACCGTCGGGACTGACGTCGCTGATAGTCGCGACGAGGTGAGATTCGCTGGGACCTCGAAAGGTGAGACTGAGAAGGCGCGATCGAGAAGGTGCGACTGAGAACGAGACGAAGGCGCGAAATGAGCGAGCAGCGGTACAAGAATGTGATTGAGACCTGGGGGGCGGGCGTCGATGTATGTGTTGAGAGTGAGCGGTCAGTCGCACATTCTGATTTATTATTCCTAGCGTTTGATTCGCTAATCCTGAAAAGCGTTTCCGCGAAAGGAGGAAAGGGTGTGGGGAGGGGGAGGAGGGGTGAAACTCAGGGGGATCGGCGCTGCGCTGAGGACCGGAAACGTGCATTCTAGTCGACCATAAGACTAGACGATGGTAATGGAACAGCGGCGAGGAGTCGATCGGGGGTGGGTCGACTGTCGTCATGATGGGCACAAGGCGCTCAGTGTGCAGCTAGTGAACAACGCGGGATCCAAGGCGGTGAGTAGCTTCTGCCTTGCGCCCAGCCACAGAGAGATTTATCTGCAGTACTAATACCAGCAGCGCGATCGAGTGCAACTGGGTGCGCAATCTGCGGGCGGGACCCTGAGAGATGTGAACGAACGCGTTCGATCACTACCTTGATACGTTTTGCTGCAGGTTCGGTTCAATACGGTAAATGAAGTTTGGGCGCGGTCCCCAGTTTCACCGCTTTTGACCATTGCGTACCAGGATGAACCGTCCAAAACAAACTCGCGACAGGAAGGTACGAGCCACCCTGAACGCGTTACGGGTTGGCGATATCTATCACGAATGAGGGGAGGATTTTAGGGCTGTGTTATGGGTGCAATGTAGCAAGATAGCGAGTGGTTGCACTAAGGAGTTCAAAGTATGGGTGGGGCCAAGGAGAAATCTATGCTGAAAATCAGTCAAATCGGCAAAAAAACGCAGAATTCTGAGGCCCTGGGGCCCCACCATGACCATTGCGCCATCGGTGCTAATGCCCAAGATACGGCGGAGGTCAACGCCGACTGGCCTGAGGTGGGAGAGCAACAAGCTCAACAAAGAGGGCGTTCCTGGGGATGGCCTGGACATTAGCCGCTCCAATGACGTGTAAAAGTTGCCTTGTGCTGTTGGCAACACATCCCCATCAGCAGTTCTCATCGTCGCTGGCACTGACCCGCCAAGTGTACATCTGCACCCGCGGACCAATTAATTTCGTGCGCGAACAAACGTCTGCGACCTGTTCGACGTTGAACAAGCCAGGGGACGCACCCTCGAAAATATTCCTTGCTGAATCGACAATCCTCGCGCGCATAGGGTATGCAGTGCCGAATTGCCTACCAACACAAACACCCGCTACTTCAATGCAACCATCCCAGGTGGATTTGTTTTTTTCCTATGCCCCAAATGGTTTTGGCCCTCGTTCTGGTGTTTACAGCTGCGCCATTACAGTTGCACGTTGAGTCAACTACACTACTGAACACCAGTCGTGCGAAAACGTCGCACGGAGGTACATTGGAAGGCCAGATTCGTGTTGGTGGGCTGCCTCGTTGAAGGCACGTGGCCCCAACGCTCAAATGTCCAGACGTTTGGCGTTTGGCCATCCCCAGGAATGCCATCAAAGTTGCAGCGTCAGCTTTCTCAACAGTGGGTGAAGCAAGAAACTACGTGACGATACGACTGTCGCGCAGAAAAGTGGCGAACACGATGTGTTTGCCACGACGCCTGTCGGTGCTCTCATCCAGCGTTATCCCAATGAAGGGGCTCGTCAGGAGGTGCTCCAGCTGCGTGGTTTGAAGCCACGCCGCGATTGCTTGAGTGAGTTTTCCGAAGCCGTACATGTAACAAACAATAAACAGGGTAGTAAGCGACAGACATATGGTGCAGCAATAAACATGTAAAACGCAATTTACTTACGTGTTGTAATAAGTGTTGTACCCCTGCTCCGGAAAACCGGGCACCTTCTTCTTCCCCAAGTAGCACACAACCCGAATCCACGAGTACATGGGCTCGTTGCAGTTGCTCATAAAGTACAGCGAGTCCAAGAGAGCCGAAAGCTGCACCATCTCCTTCCGCTTTGGGGTGAAGATCGATGCCCTATTGTCCTGCCACTTTCTGAAACAGGCCGTCCTGCCTCTCCAATGCTAACCGATGCTTCATTGTCCCTTCGTGTTTCTTAAAGGCTTGCGTCTAGGCCCCTAGATTCGTTTTGGACCACGTTGATCCATCAACCTTGGTACAACAAAAAACGCTGACGATCAGTGTCACGTAGGAAAAAAACGCTGAAATTCAAGGGTTCGTATAGGAAAAAAATGCTGATTGTGTATGGATTAGAATCTAAGCATTAGTACAAATTGCATAGTTGAATTGTAACAATTTTCATGGATGGATTGGGATAGGAGTGGCGAGAGAAACAGATGGGCTAGGGCAGCCAGTGTAACAGATGGGCTGGGGGAAGGGGTGAGAGAGGCACGTAGGCTGAGGAGAGGGGAGAAACGGGATGGGCTGGAGGAGAGTCGAATGGAATTGGGGGGTTGGGAGGGAGTTTTGAGTGGGAAAAGTGGGCTGGGGGGGGTTTCGTATAGAAGAAATGGGCTGTGGGGAGGGACAAGCGAAAGGAACGGGGCTGTCTAGGGGAAGGGAGAGTGGGCGAAAGAGCGGGTATAGTAGGCGGGAGAGCAAAAAATCATCACATGTGCGAATTCAGCATTGAGTCTCTCCCGCTATCACTCGGAATTTTCAGCGTACGCTCAAGGAAAAAGGCTGAAAAAACGGACAAAGTACAAATAAAAATGCTGAAAAATCAACCAAGGCACATACAAAAAAACTTTGAAATCAGCCTAGGGTTGAAAGAGAAGCCTGATTTGACGCTGGATCAGCGTAATTAGGTTGATACCTAGGGCCCCGCTTGCATCTGCACGTCGGTAGCGCCTTCTCCTCGCAGTTTACATCTGCCTACCAATCCAGCCAATTCTGTACATATTTGGCACTTAAAAAAGCATGGGCACCAGCAGAAGTTTTAGTCAGAACCAGCCATGGGTAATCTGTAGACCACTTAGCTTTGTAACGATCATGCGCTTCTTCGTATTTCAACTCAACATTATCGGGATTGGGCTAGGAGCTACACTGCATGGGAGAGTCCTTCCGCGCTGGAGCTTCAACATTCGAGGCAGGTGGAGGAGTTGCTCATGGAATGGTAGACTGCGGTATCGGAACTTTGTCAGTTGCGCGAGGGGGGATGGTGTTTCGTAGGACGCCTCGTGTACTTCCGTCGTTGGAGTAGCTGTGACTGGTTCAGTGGCGGCATCGAGCAAATGATCGAAGTGCGCGGAATTTGGAGCGTGACTCAAGTTGGGTTGTGACGGTGGCGCTGGCGGTGCACAGGGCTTCTCTAACGACGCCCTAAGAAAATCTAGGCCGGTCACCATGTCGACTAGACGACGACGATAAGCATCGTCGTTGTCGCCAGGCCCTTCAGCGGCCGCGTCTGTGGCTGCCATTGAGACAGCCGAGCATTGTTTTGCAAGGTCGGGAGAAGCAGCCTGAAACAAGGGTTCATGCAGTAGTTTCAGAGGACGACACTGAACTGAAGTGAGAGAGGCAAGCGAGGCGATATAGTGACTGGCCGAAATGGTGGGGATGAGGAAGCGAAGAGGTCCTCGTATTAGGACCTCTCATCTCCCTGGTGTCAGAGGTCCACTGGTGATCCCCGACTGATCCTAGGGAAGGGTTACAGGCATGTTGGTTTGGGGGGGTTATGGGCGCCCTGACCCGCTACTTAAAAAGCCCTTTTATCCCAATGGTCTAGTGGTTGGGATTCTGACATGGTATCAGAGCGAAGGTCTCGAGTTCGAATCCCAGTGTGTGTACTTCGAGCATCCCAGCGCGGGGGGGTGTCAGAGGTCTACTGGTGATCCCCGATTGATCCTGGAAGGGTTACAGGCATGTTGGCCTTGGGGGATATGAGCGCACTGACCCGCTACTTAAAAAGCCCTTTTATCCCAATGGTCTAGTGGTTGGGATTCTGACACCTGGTGGTTCCTGCATGCACGTCACCTGGTCGTGTTTTCATGGAAGGTGGGGTGGGGTGGATGGTTGTGGTGTCGTGCGAGGCGCAGCGCGCTACGAGCTATGCGTTGGCGAGGAATCTTACCAACGCTGCCTGCTGCGCAACCTTGATTGGTCGGAAGTGCAGCTGATTACAGCTTTGCTATAC